ACTCTCTAAAATCAATAAAAATATATTAAAAAAATAAAAATCAATGGAAAAAATATCCTCGGGTGAGGATTAACCAAAACAAAAAACAACTTTCTATGAATAAAAGACATCATTATTCAAGTTGAAAAACAACAGATTATGAGAAAGTATTTGCAACACATAAACAAACAAAAAAAGAATGAATAAGCAAATCTTTTAAACTCCCATAATTCCACAATCAAAAGATCAACAGTCAACTGGATAAACAGGCCAAGGACAGGAACAAACGACTTGTAGAAGGGAAGTTGAGGCTCTGACTGAGTAGCTCAGTTGGTTAGAGCGTCATCCCGATACCTATCTACCTATCTATCTCCCTCTCCCTCTTCCTTCCTCTCTCTCTAAAAATCAATCAATAACAGTTATAATAAGAGAACTTGAAATGTCCAACAATCTGGAAGAGATGTTCAATCCGAGGAGAGCACAGGGAAATGCAAATTAAAACGAATAAAATACCAGACTGGATTCATCAGATTGAGCACCTGTCACCAAACAGTGAAAACAAAGATCATCTAAAATACTCCTAATGCCACGACCCTTCAATACAGTTCCTCATGTTGTGGTGACCCCCAACCACAAAATTATTTTTGTTGCTACTTCATAGCTGTAATGTTGCTACTGTTATGAATCGTGATGTAAATATCTGATATGCAGGATGTATTTTCATTGTTCGCGACCCACAGGTTGAGAACCGCTGGAAAGGGCGATATATACTTTTGCTGAGTCTGTAAATTTTTATTATTATTTTAATTAATAAACTTTCTTTCTTTTTTTAATCCTCACCCGAGGATATTTTTCCCATTGATTTCAAGGGAGAGTGGAAGGGAGAGAGCAGTGGGAGAGAGAGGGGGGAATATCCCCATGAGAAAGACACCTCAATTGGTTGCCTCCTGCACTCACCCCCACTGGGCCCGGGGAACCTGCAACCGAGGCCCATGCCCTTGACCATGAATCGAACCTGTGACCCTTCGGTCTGAGGGCCAACGCTGAGCCAAACTGGCCAGGGCTAAACTTTATTTCTTAAAACACCTTTAGACTTAAAAAAAAAAAAAAAAAAAACACAACGAAAACCTCCAAAACTGAACAGAAAGGACAGAGTTCCGATATACACCTTTACTCCAACCCGTTTCCCCTATCTTGTGGTGGCGTGCTACATTTGTTACATTGGTGAACCAATATATATTTTTCCCATTGATTTCAAGGGAGAGTGGAAGGGAGAGAGCAGTGGGAGAGAGAGGGGGGAATATCCCCATGAGAAAGACACCTCAATTGGTTGCCTCCTGCACTCACCCCCACTGGGCCCGGGGAACCTGCAACCGAGGCCCATGCCCTTGACCATGAATCGAACCTGTGACCCTTCGGTCTGAGGGCCAACGCTGAGCCAAACTGGCCAGGGCTAAACTTTATTTCTTAAAACACCTTTAGACTTACAAAAAAAACAACACACACACACACACACAAAAAAAACCCCTCCAAAACTGAACAGAAAGGACAGAGTTCCAATATACACCTTTTCTCTAACCCGTTTCCCCTATCTTGTGGTGGCATGCTACAGTTGTTACACTGGTGAACCAATGTTGATGTAGCATCGTTATTACCAGCTAAAGCCCATGGTTTACATTAGGGTTAACTCCTTGTGTTGGGTTTTGCCAAATGCACGATTTCATGTATCCCCACATCTCACCGTCTCAGGCAGAATGGTCTCGCTGATCTAACAGCAGTCCCTGCCTTCCACCTGCTCACTGCTCCTCCTCTCCCTGCCCCACCCCAGGCATCCACTGTCCCTATAAATTTGCCTTTTCCAGAATGTCCTGTAGTTAAAATCATAAAGTATGCAGCCGTTTCAGACTTGTTTCTTTTCCTTAGCTACACGCACTTACTGGTTTTCCATGTCTTTCTGTGGCTTCATTGCTCATTTCTATTTTTCGCTGAATAGTATTCCACTCAGGGGAGGGGAACCTTTTTCTGCCAGGGGCCATTTGGATATTTTTAACACCATTCACGGGCCATACAAAATTATCAACTTGAAAATTAGCCTGTTTTATTTGGTCGAACATTTAATTAACTCACCCCTCATGCCTTGGCAGGACCAGACCAAGTGATTCCTTGGGCCTCGTCTGGCCCTGTGGCCGGACGTTCCCCACCCCTGCACTATATGGATGTGCCACTGTTAGCTTAACCATTCACCTAGTCAAGGGCATCGAGGTGTGCTTCCAGTTTTTGGCAATTATAAATTGAGCATTTGAACATTTGCCTGCAGGTTTTTGTGTGAATTACCTAAGAATGTAATTGCGGGATTCTATGGTAAGACTATGTTTAGCTTCGTGAGAAACTGCCAGTTTTCCAAAGTGACTGCTATTTTGCAGTCCCACAGGCAATGAATGCGAGTTCCTGTTGCTCTGCACCCTCGCCAGCATTTGGTGTTGTCAGTGTTCAATATTTCAGCCATTTTGATAAGTGTGTAGTAGTACCTCATTGTTGTTATTGTGGTTTTTAATATATATTTTTGTTGATTTCAGAGAGGAAGGGAGAGGGAGAGAGAGAGAGAAACATCAATGAGAGAGAATCATC